GACAATGCTAAAAGAAATGATTCCTAAATGACATTCCTAACCCATCATGGGGCTGCATCTGTGAGCACTAACGTCCTTATCACATTGTTTCAATTGAACTAAATATTGTGACCAGGAATGTAAATTGCTGTTTCATAGGATATTCATCTTAAGTTTGGACTGAAGTAACCAGTGTAGCCAATGTGAAAATGACACATCGCATATCTATAGCCTTTACAAAGAAAACCAAACTCAGATTCATGTGATATTTAGATGTCTGGAGAGATTTGGGACATTAAAAATCTTAACATAAAATTATTGGTCATCTAGATGATTCTTTCTCCTCCAGTCACAGAACTAAGAAAACATACATATAATCAATATGTCAATATTGGAGCTCTTCTAAGGAGAAGAGATATTAAATTTTTAATTACATCATTTTTAATTTGGCCCTTCTGACTCTCTCACTTGCAAGTCCCCTGCCCATGAATGAGACAATTATGAGATCTTATTCTATAGGACCCTCCTGGGTTCCTAGACACACACATCCATATCTGGCTATACCCAAGACATTTTGCAGACCATTGTTGGAAAAATAATCTAGTATAGACTATCACAGTGATCTTAGAATCCTAAGACTGCTCTAGCATTTGGAATGTTTGAAAGAATGACATAAAAAGACTCACAAAGTTACCAGTGCCTGCTCATGTACACTCCAGATGGCATATTCAAGTATCAGGTGACCTACAAATTTTCTTTTCTTGCTATGAGCCAGCACAGGCCACATTCAAGGCAGAGCAAGACAGTCTACTCTGTGTATTGCATGTTAGGGAAGCATGCCTTCAGACCAGTATTGCCTGATACTTTATAACTCTTAGTGGGACAGTAACAAAACATATAAAGCTTATATATAGCTCATAAAAGAATCTTATTTGGAAGTTAACAGTGAGCTGTATCCGATGCTGGGATGAGAAATTCCATGCCAGTGTACTTAGTACCCCATTGAGATTACAACAGAAGCTCCATCTTCCAAAGACACACAGCATGACACAGGCTTGGTAACAGAAAAGAGTGCATCAAATTCCAGAAATGCCTCTTAGTAGTTCTACACATCTAGGGAGCCTTTTCTCCCACACAGTTTAACCACTCAGTGCCCTTGGCCTTGCAGGAGGCCCTTTGTGAGGGTTCACATGGTAATGAAGCTCTCTGCTACCTTTGCAGGAGACACTCAGCAAAGGATACCTTCTTTTAGTTGTTTGGCTGGTGAAGTGCTTAGGAAGTTTCTGACATGCAATGGGGGTGGGGTGCTAAGATGTGAACTCCCACTCATCTTTATCTTCATAAAGTTTACTTCATGTCACTAAATAGATACTGAGCATCATTTATGAGGCAAGTGCTGTGCCAGATCCCAAGACTATCTAAAGGCAAGTGGAAAAGAAAGCCATTAAACAACTAATTATTGCATGCAATATACATCTAATAACTTGGATAATGATAAGAGAATAAAAAAAACAAGGAAGTAAGAATAGGAACCTAAGTTTTGCATTAAGATTGTCAAATCTGTAGATTTTAGCACTATATAAATGCCATTAGAAATGCAACCTGTGATGGTCAATTTTACATGTTCCCTTGGCTATAATATGCATTTCACTTAGTTTCCATGAAGCTACTTTTTCCCTTGTATACTTAACAGTTCACTTTGATGAAAGCCTAACATTTCAAACTCTAAGGAAACCAACTGGCTCATCAGAATATAAGTGGATCTCAGTCAATTGGTTGAAAGCCTTAAAAGAACAATCTGACATTTCTCATAGAAGTGTTCTTCATAATACCTAATGTAATAATCGCCCTTATGTTTCCAGCCTGCAGCTTTGCAAATGTGGAACTTGAGTGTGACATCAATTCCTACCTGAATGCCATAGCAACGCATATCTGTGTTTACAGCCTGTCAGCTCACACTATAGCTAGAGCAGTGAGTGTCTACAATTGAGTACACTGCCCTACATCCCGACACACACACACACACACACACAACACACACACAATATAACATGCATATGCACTCAATTCATGCTTACATATTGCTCATTGACTCTTAGAGCAAATGCAGATCATATGACTTTGAGGTTGAGACAGTAACTCCTAAAGATACACCAAATACATCAGACACAGAGACCTTTCCCACATAGCCTTCAGGTGTGTCTTCCTGTTTGATGCCATATGGGCTACAGAATTTAGGTTTAGGATTGTCATGTTCATGACAATATGGATGCCAGATCAGTCTGCCATGGGAGGAAAAGTTAAAGTGACTGATGATTTTTTCTCTTTTTTTTTCATTTATTTTTCTTATTTTACATATTGATCCCAGTTCCCTCTCCGTCCCTCTCCCTCCCTCTCTTCCACCCTCCCATGCTCCCACCACCACCCTCCCACCCACCCACCCCCACTCCACATGTAGGGTGATGCCTTCCTGGAGGGTGACGGATGATTTTAGAAAGGGAAGGAACTGTATAGCCCACTGATGTTGTGACCATCACATTTGTATTACTGTGTTCTAAAATCACCTAGGAGACAAACTTCTGGGCATTGATTGTCTGTGAAATTTTCTAGATGTGTCTAACTTAGGCAGGCAGACCCAACCTGTGGGCAGCACTGTCCCACTGACTCAGAACCCCAGACCGAATGAAAGGAGAAAGGAATGTGGGCAACAGTGTCCATCCTGTTAAGCTTCCTAACTGCAGCTGCAGGGGCAACAGGAGCAGCTGCCTGGAGCAATGCTGTGTCTTCCTCACCATGATGGACTAGACCTTCAAACTGTGCAAAACAAACCTTGGTTGCTTCTGAAAGGTGCTTGCTGCAGTGATGAGCAAAGTAATTCGTACAGCAGGTATGAGCATCCCCCACCTGAACATGTGAATTCCTGAACATTCTAAACCAGAACTGGTAGGTGTGACACAGTAATGTCAATACAAAAGAACTGTTTGGCATGACACTCATACACAAAACCATTAAAATCATCGTATAAGTTACCTCCTAGATATTGGGGGATGTTTACAGAACAAATGCTTTAAAATTGGCTTTCACTCTCAGCATATTCCATGTCACATATGCAAACATTCCAAACTATGAAAAGTGATCCAAAGTCTAGAACACTTTCTGTCCCAAGCACTCTAGATAAGGGACACTCAGCCAACATTGTGTTTTTCAAATTTTACCTGCCTATACTCTACTCATCTAATGTAGCATATAGAGACATAGGTCCTTACATGACCATGGTATATACTGTGATCCCTAAGTTTTGGAAGACAAGCTTCAACTAATGGTTCAGTTTAAATGCCTAGCCACAAGTCACTGGGGTGTGCTCTAGCCTTTCAGGTGTATTTGGGGGAAATAAATAGGTTGAGATTTTATAACTTCAACTTCAACCTGACTTAATTTTTTTTTAATGTAGAGGGATTCATTGTGGCATTTTCAATCAGATGAGTTGTCCTACATTCTTCTAGTTCATCATACTGACTATTGAAGGACAGGTAAAAACTCTCCAATTTTCAGTCCTTGTCCTAAAAATGTAAATTTTTCTGGAGTCAGTCAGTGACTTCCACATCATGAAAAGTAAATTTTGCTTTGAAGACTATTTTGTCAAATAACCGTTGCATTGCACTTGAGTCTCGTGATGTGTAAGAATTTATCCCAGGCTTTTTATGACATATATACACTTGATGTCTGAAGCATAGGAGTAGGCTATGTCTTCTGGATTGAGCCTGACTCTAAGGAATGACACTAACTGTTATTGTCCCAGTGGTACCCTTCATAAACTCTAGAGTGGTTTGTGAACAAATTCCCAGTGGTAAGAACCTAGGGGACAATTTTACATTTTTATTTATAGATCTATTTCTGTGTTTCGGGGGAGGGAGATGATTTGTTTTCTGTTGCTGTGATAAAACACTAACCAAAACCAATCCATATCATCATCCATTTTGAAGAAAATCAGAACAGGAACTCAAATCAGGAGCCTGGAGCAGAAACCACGAAGAGACCATGGAGAAACACTGCCTACTGGCTTATTCCACAGGGTGTGCCCAGCTTGCTTTCTTACTCACCAAAAGTCCTCCTTGTCCAGGAGTGGCACTGGACACAGTGGACTAGACATTCATTCCCACGTCAATCATTAGTCAAGGAATTACTCCATAGGCATGCCCACAAGCCACTCTGATAGGTAAAAACTGGTGTTCCTTCTCCAAGTGACTCTAGATTGTGTCAAGCTAACAACAACAACAATAACTCAACACACATACACAGACATACATAATACGTACATACACACACACATGCATATACACACACACATACATGTAGAAGGGGACTATGGTAGGAGACAAAGAGTTCTAAAGAGAAGAACAAAAAACTATAGCAAAGATAAAGAGAAAATATAGCCCATTTTCATACTATTTGAGGATATAAAAGGGATAAGCAAAAATTGAGGAGGAGGAGGAGGGTGAAGTAAAATGAAGCTGAAAAAAACTATTGTTAAGAAATTAATCTTGAGAACCACCACAGAAGAAACTATTGTTCTCATATCTCTGTGCTTTCATGATTGCAAGCTCAGTGGTCATTCCCTGCATTGGATTCAAGGACCCAGACAGGACAGATTATGGGGGCACAGGTGCCATCCGTGTCTGTTCTTGACTGAAGACCCTCCCTTTTAAGACTAAGAGCAGAGAAGCATTTGCAAAGTGCTTGCTGTCCCTGGCACACATTGCAATAGCCTCATAACGGTACCAAAGCAGCTCACAAAGCAGCAGATGACATCAGATCCTGCATCTTTCATCGCACCTGCTAGCCGTCCTTGAGAATTCACCTCCTCCTCTTCAGCCCATCCCGTTATGTGCAGCTGAAATTTACCATTTAAATCGTAAGCCGTGAAACGAAACTGGAATCGCACGTGTGATCTTTGCCACCTCATTTTCATGAATGGAAGAGAATATTCTGACACAAAAATTACATACTTAATTCTAGCTCACCCCGTCTGCTGACCTCCATCCGGCACTGCCTTGAGTTTATTTCCTCCTCCATCGGTGGGTCAAAGTAATTTCTGCCGTATTCATTTCCTGTGGAAAGTCCACAAGGTAAGGGTCAGTGATTATTTTAGAAGCACGTGAACCAAAATGTTAATTCTGAAATCAACACCAGCATGAAAGGGTCGTTTCAGCTACTTTATAAGCTTAAATTTTTACAAGTTTTCTAGGCCTCTCTCTTTTTTTTGTAATTATCATTTTGTATAAGGTCAGAAAAAGTAATTCAAGAAATAAGTTCATGCCGACTTTCTGTTGCTGAAAAGTTAATGAGAAAATTATCAAATGGAGGCTTTAGGACAGTAATAATTAAAAAGGAAAAAGAAATCAAGCTAGCCCGTGTTACATGTATACCCAAGATATGGGCATACTTGGAGAGGAACTAAATACTACGGATGCTAGTGATTCTGTTTACGAACTTGTAGTTTATGAAAGATATTGTGTTGCCTACAAAAGTTTGAGACAAACTTAGTCATGTTTTAATTATGGGAAACTAGTCAAAGTTCCATGTAGAAAGAGAAAGGGGGAATGAAAATGAGGGAAGAAGGAGGGAAAAATAAAGTGGGAGAGGAAGGGAAGGAGGAAGAAAGAAAGAAAAGGGAAAGAGAGGAGCCAGGGAGGTGGCTCTCTCCATGAAGGGAGCGGATGCTGCACACAGAGTGACATCTTAGCACCCATGAAAAGGCTGGGGAGCATATGTATACAATCCCAGCACTGGGAAAGTAGAAACAGGAAGATCCTTGGAGCTTGCTGGCCAACCAGCAGAATTGTTGAGCTTCAAACTCAGTGAGAAACCCTGTTTTAAAAACTAGAGAACACTTAAAGAAGACAACCAACATTGACCTATGGCCTCTGTATTCATGTATGCACACTTAGACGTGTACCAACCAGTGTATACACATACACACGCATGCATATACATACACCACAGAAAAAGGGGAATGAGGAATGAAGGAAGGAAGGAAAGAAATAAAGAAATAAGAAGAGAGGGAAGGAGGGATAGAGGGATGGAAAGAAAGGAAGGAAGGAACAACCCACATCGAACCTCCATTCCCAAGGCTAAAAGAAGTCCTGTTGTGGACCCAGACCGGGTGTTGGATTCCTGCTTCTAAAGCTGCACTTTCTCCTCCCTCCATAGATCTCTGTTCCTTAAATTTAAGTATGGGAACAGGAACTTGGGTTTTCCTGTGTGGTCTCAATAAAGACGAAAAATGAATGTGTTTCAATTTTGTTAATTGATCCGTCAACAACTACTACCTCCTAGGATAAGGCTTGGTGATTTGTGGCTGGGCCTCTGTCCTGCGGTGTTCAGCCATTCTTTATTGCTGTGGCATACTTGTTGATTGGTTTGTTCACTCACTTGTTTGCCTCCACCCAGAGAGTACTGGGAAACTGCTTCTTCTAAATGCCATCAAAATAGCTCACCTCTATCAGAGCAAAGTTAATGGCATATTCCTGACTATCCTGCCATACCAGTATAGCCAAGTAGTGAGACCCACTCCATAAGTTCCCCACTTCACAAAACTCAAGTTCTTGACCCATCAAAATAACCAATTCATTTGTAATAGCCAGCTGTTCTAGATCTTTGAAAAATCAAACAAAACTAAATCATTTTCAACCTGTGTCTGTGGGTTATACACCTACCTGCATATTCAAATAATATCCAAAAATAGAAAAACTGAAAAAAAAAGTCACATCTGCACTGAAAACATCCAGGCCTTTTCTTTCCTTTCTTTTCATTTCCCCCTTACTAAATAATAAAATATAACAATCGTTTATGCATTGTCTGCATCATATAAGGTGTAAGTGATCTAGAGATGATTTGAACACATACCGAAGGGTTGTAAAGGTTCAAATGGAAGCACACAGTATTTTGTAGCCAAGACTTCAACATCTTTGGGTGTAGTATAGGAGGTTCCTGAAGCAAACCCCCTTAGAGACCATGGAATGGCTGTATGGGCATCGAGTTTTCAAGTCATTTCCATCCTTCTTCTAAGTGAGATGCTGGGGTTTGCACAGCTTTGCATGAAGGAAGTCCATATTTTAGGGGCTGTTCAAACTGCTTCCTCCCCAGTTGGGGATCCATGCTTGTGTAATTGGGAGAGAACCACCTTTATGGTTACACATATTACACCAGCTGCAAATGTTGGTGGAAAAATATATGAATTGTAAATACTGCACTTCTAGTAACTCCCATTATAGTGGTTCCCATTGTGGAATACCACATGTAGCTTCTTGGAAGTAGAGAAGTCTGAACCTTCTTGCACACACCAAGAAGCATATCTGACATGCATAGAATTGGTCTTTTATTATGCCTTTGCATGATATTAAATATTTATAAGGGACATATACTGTATAACTGATATGTTTTCCTCTTACATATACATAATGTGCTATATTGGTTTTTGTGTTTAGTGCCTGTATTATATACCACCCATTGTCTGTCTCCCCTATTTGAATGCAGGCTCTATTACGGCAAAGACATGACCTCATTGCTCTCTCCAATGCCCTTGGTACCTACCAAAGAGCCTGCTTCATGGACATGTTCATAATACGGTACGGATCCATTTAATAAAATTCCCTTGGGAATTTACCATGAAACCCAGATGCTTTCCATGTCTTGCAACTTAGAGAGTTTTCATCATTGTTTATTCTTCTCATCCTGACTATTCCCTGCCCTGTCTGATTTCTTTCACCACCTTGCTGCTTCTTATCAGCATCTATCTAGATTTTACAAAAAGGAACAAATGACAGGGTTAGAGAGATAGCACAGTGGTTAAGAGCACTTGTTGTCTTGCAGAGGACCAGGGTTCAGTTTCCAGCACCAACATAGTGTTCACAATCATCTTTAACTCTGATTTAAGCAGCCTGGTGACCTCTTCTGGCCTCAATGGGCATCAGGCACACATTTGATGCACATACATACATGCAGGCAAAATACAAACACACATAAAATAACAAGTATATCCTTTTGTTTTTCTTTCAAGACAAAAACTATGGGTCTTGCCTGCACAACACGGCCTGCTGGGAGAACAGGAGAGCTGGGCTTCAGTGGGGATTCCTGGAGAACAGCTATCTAAAGAAAGTTAATGATTAGCAATAGCCAGGTCAAGGTCAAGGGGCAAGAAAAGCCTGGTCAAAAACCAAACAGCACAAAAGCATACATGTAGAGTGAGTACATTTTCTCAGTAAACTTGATTTTTCTGAAGTGCCTAGAATGTTAATTAGCAGAATAAGCAATAGAATTCAAACATCTTCAAGCAGAGGCCCAGAATCAGATTTAACTGATATTGGCACATTATTGTGAAGTATTGATTTATTCTGACATGTTGTGTCTGCCCAATTTGTCACACCTCCAGTGTCTGTTGGGTCTTTATTGGCTCCTTGTTGTAGTATAAGTCAATCTCCAAATCAAATGAGAATGAACTGTCAAATATTGAAATGATCACGCCCTCCCATTGGCTTCTCTTATTTACCTACAAGCAAAAAAAAAAAAAAAAAAAAAAAAAAATTTAAAAGGGAGTGAAGAAAGTATGGCTCACAGAATCTTGGGACTTTTCTCAGTTCTAGCTTCCCATTGCTAGTGTTTCACTGGGCAGCATCAGGATTTAATCAAGTGGGGTAATTTTAGGATCAGTTATATATTACCAGAAGCTAGGTTACTAATAGGATGAATTCCTCAACACATCCTCATCATTCACAATATGCTTTTGGATATAACTAAATCATCTCACAGGGAAATGAACAGACCCACTGAGAAATTCAAAGTAGGGCACTTAGCAATACAAATACAATAGGTTTTTATGTTGCTGGTAGTTAACTCTCTGTGATACCCAGAAGAATGAGGTAACAATCACCTGAATGTGTGTATGTATACTCTCCTAAGTTGAGGCAGTTGGATACGACATATAAAATATAAAATATAAAATAACGTATAAACTAACATATAAAATAACAAATCAGTAAACTGTTTGTGCACTAACAGCATTCTTTCCAAATTCCTAATAGTAGCGGTTCCAGGCTGAGTCTCAGCATTAGTTAGAACATTTCTTGTGCTGTTGCCATTGTTTTATCTGAAATGTGGAGAAAAGCATTCCAACTTGCCTTCTGCCCTTCCACCCATATGGGATTTTCCTGTCATTTAACTCATAGTATCACAGAGCATAATCAGAGCTCTTAAATTACACTACACGTGAACTTTGTTCAGGGAGCGTTCCTGTGTGCACCCAAGCAATTCCTTGGGAGCTGTAAAAGTGAGAGTGAAAATTGCCCAGCAGAGGAAGGCTTTTACAAAGCATCTGAATTCCTTGACTCAGTGATGCAATCACTTCCTCTCTCAGGTGTGTGTGTGTGTGTGTGTGTGTGTGTGTGTGTGTGTGTGTGTGTGTAGAGGGTAATTAATGGCTTTACTCTAATGTTTTTCCCATAAATCCCCCTGCTCCCGCTCACTTTTTTTAACACTAATCTCTATATTTTCTATAATACAGCATAAACTCATTACACACATGATACCTGTAACTATGTAACTTTTTATTCTGTGATTATAGCCACATAGTAACATTTTACAAATTAGAACACTCTCTTGAATGTTAAGAAATGAAGCCTAGAAAACCAAAGTTTAATTTGACTCCTATGGGCTTTCTAAAAATATTTGATATAATACTTTTTGCATCATTGTTTCTCACCTTGAAAGTCTCACACAGAGATTTTGGCTCTAAATTTTCATGAGACTGGACAGGTTGCATAGATCTATGAACTACAGCTGTAGGAATTAGGAGACAACAGAGCAACATAGTGTAGTGGGAAATCTATCCAACTCAAATCTGCTCTAGTATGGTAAGTCTACTCAAGGTCTTCATGGGGCCAATGTGCAAACACCTCTTAAATGAAAGGTAATTCACATTAGGAGGATCTTACTTTACTTCACATTCCTCCTTTGCTCACCCTTCTCTACTTCCTCCCTCCCTCCCTCTTTTTTTTTTTTTTTTTTCATTGCAAATGGAACCCAGGGCCTCACACAGGTTAGTTAAGTGCTC